AGCTCCGCAGCAGCCACGGCTGCATTAAGGAGGGGCTGCCTTGGGGGTGGCACCCAGCAGGTTCCACAGCAGCCCAGCCCTTGGTTACTGTGTTACCCCACATTAAGGATTCGGCTGAAATTGCAGATGTGCTTACCTCGTCATAGTATTTCACTATGTATTTGTAGATTTCAAACAAGGCCACTTTCTCATTAAATTCATTTTCGTGTTTCTAAAACAGACAACAGTTCTGGTCAGATATTTCTCCTTAAAAAAAAAAACAACTTAACATGAAAGCAAATGAAGTTGCTGCTTCTAAACCATACCTTAGATTCCTGAGCTAGAAATTCTTCAACCTCTGCAGTGGTCAATGGAGGCAGATCCCTGATGGCTTTGTAGTACGCTTTCACCTCCTTCTTGTAGAGAGGAATGTCCTTAGCATAGAGAAGTTTATTTGTTGGTGCTTCCTTAAAAGAAAAAAATTGAAGCCTTGTAACTTTTCACAGCACAGATTTCCTGAGGTTCCACCTCCACACAGTTAATTACATCTAATTGTGTCTGTGTGACTCATTTTTCTTTGCTGTGCTTATATGCAAGGAACCAAGATTATAAAACAAAGATGCAAACCAGAGGCAGGATTTCACTAATAGTGTATTGTGTTTCATGACAATTGCCATGTAATTATTTCTATTGACATCAGGATTGATGACTTTTTGTCCCTCAGACATACTTTTCTTTCTTACTTCCTCCTTACAGATCCCTAGACCTGAAAGATTATGAAAGCTGAACCAAAGGGTCTGAGGGCAAAACCCAATTTACGTACAAGATACAGCAGTACTGCTGAAAGGAAAGTTCCCTGGCAGTGACACACCAGAGAGTCTTGTTAGGTGCTGTCCTGGCAGAGGTTCCCCTAAATCTCTTTGGTCCCTACTACTCCTTTCCCTCAGGGGTTTGAGAGCATGCAGAGCTGACTGCCAGACACACAAAGCCAAAAGGATTTTTCTTCACCCCAGGACTTCAACAACCCCGGCCAGCATTAACCTATCCAGGAGCTTTAGGCTCATTTGAGGAAATAAGTGCTGATGCTTGTGATAGGAGCCAAAGCCCCACCTGGAAAACTGATTTTCAGAATGTAAAAGTGGGGGCTGGTAGTTTCCTGTTTAAGGTCTGGGCAATAAGTGACATAACCTTGTGTTATGTTGTTACCACTGCTTCCAATGTGTGATGAAGTAATTTAAATGTTTGTTTTCTAAATGGCTAAGAGATGTCTCAAGATAAAAGCCTAAAAATCATGAAGGTAAATACATTTTAGTATTAGAAGGACACAAGATATTTGCTGCATTGCAAACCTTTATCAGGTTTCAGCACCCCTTTTCAAATAGCTAACAGGAGCTGTTGTTTCAACAATTCTGCATAGTGGATGTTAAACACAGAAGCCTAACAACCATGCTCATTTACAGTTTTTCCATCAAGGAAGTGATGTGATTAGCTTTAATTTATGATACTTCACTTGTAAAGCAAGAGAAACAAGCACATTAATTGCTATTTACCTTTAACAGATAAGCAGTTGGATTAGATCACATAGAAAATTAGTCCATTTTAATATAAGTTTTTTCAGGCTAAAAAGTTTCTAGCCTGTTTTTCTCGGTAGTATGAGCCTGAACAAAAGCTTCCTGCTATGGTCCAAAGAAAAGGAAAATACCCTGGGGAAAAAGGAAGTATTTCTGATCCCCAGAGTTCTGGACACTATACTAAAGAGTTTTTGAATGTAAGATTCCTGAACTTGTTGCTCCAGCAAATAATTTTGCATATAAAAAGGGAGCAGCTAATATATGTGAAAGGAACTGTTTCAGTCTTCAGAGGTCTTTCAGTATTGTTGCAGCTTCCACTAGCTTATTGTGAGTGTTTTCTGCACACTGGTGTGTGGCAGACAAAATCTGGACTACTTATCAAATAACGTTAATACTTTTAAGACCTTTGTTTAAAACTCCATTAGAACTTTACAATTTCCATCTTCTTGCCACCTATTGTGTAAACACACTGTGCAGAACTGAACTGCAGAGAAAACAAGCAGCAGTTAACTATAAATAAGGCATTCTCATAGCTGTATCTGTCTACCGGACTGAAGAATTCAGTCTCAGGAGACAGAGAAACGAGGAATGGAAACCCAGCTTAATTAGGCCCTTGACAATTCTGCCCCCAATATCAGCAGATCCAGAATTTCATCATCCTAATCATTATACATTTGAAAAACGCATTTGTTGAGAAAGTAAGAGAAGACTGGAGGGGCAGCATTACCTTCCCCAGTGTCTGTTCTGCGAGAGAAAAGGCATCCATGAAGGCCTGTGCGATTACAGACAGACAGCCATCTATGTGTGAAGTCTTCTTAATGTCAAAGACAAACTGGGGATTCTTCAGTATGTTCACCCAGAAGCGAAGAGGAAGACTAGACAGGAGAAGGAACAAACATCTTTAAAATCAACCACTCAAATAGCACAACTGCTTTTAAATGGTCCTTAATTGCAACTGCACTCATGGAACAAAGCACATTCCTGGTTGCTTCTTCACACTAAAAAAGGGGTCAGGGAACAAAGGCTACAGAGCAAACGCATCTGTCAGGCACCCAGCTTGAAATAATGCTCCCAATCTGCAGCTACTTCTTTCAGAGTGAGAAGTCGGTGTGCAGGCTGCACAGACCTGGAAGCTCTGATGGTTTGTGTTGTATTAAATCAATACACTCAAGTTACTGTTATCCACAAAGCCAAACCACATCTTATTCCCAGACATGCCAAAATCTTATTCTTCTGCTCACACCTGACACATTTCATTTTTGCAACTATGTGTTCAGAGAGCACACACACCCCTGTTTACATCCCATGGGCATACCTGTTGGTTTTCCATATGTGAACCACATCAGGATCAGTAATTTTTTTGCTCTCAGCCTGGGCATCCAAAAAGTCAAAGAAGTACTTGATGGCAACAGGTGCTTTATTGTTGGGTAAACTCCAAATGCTCCTGAAGAGCTTTTCAACAACTGCATGAATTGCCACCTAAAAGTAACAAAGTTAATAGTTTGTCACTATTACACAAGCAAAGAATAGGATGTTTTACCTCAGAGAGTTGTGTGTGCCCCTAGATAACCACACATAGAAAATTACCATATGCTTGTGGCAAACATCAAGGCCATTGGCAAACAGGACAGTAACAAAAATGGAACTACAATACATTACAATGAGCTCCTTCCATATGTCACGTGTCCTGTAGCTCTGTTACAGGAGAATCATGGTGAATTCTGTGATAAATCACAGGTGGAAAGAACCACTTGGGCTAATAAACACAATTTCCACTCTTGGGATACTGCTGCCACTGTTGCTAAAAGCATTTGAAATTTGTGACTGGAATTAAGAGGGAGGTGAGAAAAAAGCAGTTTAGCCACTTTCCTAGGGCACTGGTCTTCCAGGTGCCATCTGTGACACAAACTCAACACATGTGCTCATCAACACTTCACAGCCAAGTGGCTCTGGCACTTGATCTAATTCTAGAATAACAGCTTTGGGTGCTATAAGACACTAATATTAGAGAGAAGAACTGAAAACTGGATATTTCTGATACCTAAGTGTAGATATTTGGCTCATTAAAGGTAGGGTTTGGTTGCTGCTGGACTCACTGACATAATCACTGAGTATTTATAAGTAGAGGCAAACAAAGGAAAACACTGTTTTGTGCTTTATTTCTTCACATCTGTTTTGAAGCTCAGTTCAGCCCAATCTTCTCTTGACAAGAAGGATTTAATCATATCCCAGGGCCTTGATGAATTCGGGCCAGTTCATTTCATGGGGTAAACTCTGAGATTGTGTCTGTGTGCATGTATGGGAGACAGGGGAGCAGAGAGAGAGAGAGATGGTGAGATGCAATTTCATTTAGTGCACAGCCTATCATGAGAGGAATTTCACAGCAAAGAATATCACAGCTCTGTTGTTCAGGGCAGTGTCCTACTTTGGAGAAGATGATTAATTTAAAGCCCTTTAAAAGCTCTGTTTCTAAAAAGCCTGATCTTTTCTTCTGTACCTCAGTCTTCCACCATAAGACATTACTGGTTTACTCCAGCATTTCCTGAGGGCTCATGTTAGTTTTCACAGGTAATGAGAAATGACCAGTCTTCACTCTCACTTTGGGGACTGTCCCAAATTACTTCAGATGCTATCAACAGCCTAATTAAATAATGATTGATAGACTTTTAAATGCAAGAAGGCTATAATCATCATCCCTTCAGGCCTCTTGCACAGCTCAGTGTTGTGCACCCATGAATATTTTATGCAATATGCTGTTGCAAAGAGCTTTCTAACCATTTGGAGTTAAGTCAGAAACAAGATGACGTTACCGGAGGGAGCGAGCAGGACTTATTCCTAAGCAATGCACATTGTATAAATTAGGTACTTGTATTATAAATCCTAAAGACCTTGCTTTTAAAGTTAATCTAGTTATTTTGAATGCCTAATCAAAATAATAACAGATTATTTCATTTTGTGGGCAGTATCTTGTGAAACTCAGGCTTCAGAAGTCATCTGTAAGCTGGGCATACGCTAGAGCAGAATGAGGAGATTGTTGACTGAAAGCTGTCATTCCAGAGTGGCTCATTCTCACCCTATGGAACTCTGTGGTAAAACTCACTTTCCATGGGCTAAATAACAATCTTTTTCTTTAACCTGAGAAGAAGGTTGTGCTTACTAAGGAGATACTATGTGTAATCAGACAATTTTAGAACTCTAGTATTAGAAAACCTGAAATGTGTCTGTCTTTGCAAAAGGTCATGCCCCATAGTTAGCGTGGCGATTTTTGGATGCCACCTTTTCATTTAATATTTGATTTACACTCAGGAAGTCTGCACTACTTCTAGTTTTGTTTGTGTTTCTGTTATGCCAAACTATCCAAGCCAACACCAGCCCTCCCCCACAACAAAGCCTTTACAGTTTACCTTGGTTGACAGAAGTTTTGTGAGATACATTTCTTTCACTTTGAATTTTTGTTTTCCTTTGTGACCTGCTCCCTTCACATCTTTGTTTGCTTCAGAGTCTGGTAAAATCTGTTACAAAGAGATTAGAGAGATTACACAGATCCAAATACAGCTCAGTATTAAATCTACCACTCAGCAGTGGAATGATTCAACTCACCAAATGACAGTGTTCGTCTGAGTAGTCCACATCTAAACAACAAAAGCAGAGAGCCATTAATGAAACACACAGCCACAAGCTTGTGAGTTCTGCTGGGCTCTGGGCCGTGCAGCAGGGTGCATCCAAGATGCCAAACAAGCAGAGTCAGTGTCATCCTTTCCTGCCTGCACTGTGGGGGAAGTCTCTGAGAAATGCATGGACCCTGTGCACCTCCCTAGTGCCAACCTGTAGCTTGGACCACTGTGATACAGCATCCTATCTGCTGCTGGGGCAAGCTGGCAGCAACCCCAGCTCCTCTGAAAGGAGGACAAGATGAGATGATTGCAGGGATTTAAGCCTCTAGGAGTGCTGGGTGCAGGTGGGCTGAGGTCAGGCTTGAACACAATGGCTGGGAAAAACAACCTCAGCTTTGCTGAGGGGGAGATGCACGTCTCTCCTAACTTTGATGATAAGGAAACACATCTTAGGAGTGTGCTTCTGCACAGAGCTACAGAAAGTTCTACCCTCATCCAGCAGGTGGGTCAGAGCAACCTGCATCACAGGGCTAGGTGAGATGAACTGGCCCCTTGTAAGCACCCTTTCTCTGCTGACATGCTGCTCAGACAGTGAAGTCAAAGCTTTCAGAAACACACTCAAGAGAATAAGGACAATTCCGAAACAATGGGGGTTTTATCATTTGTGTTTCTGCACAGTGCAGCACTATGGCTGTGATTCACAGCTCAGGGCACCAGGCAGAGAGAGCTGTTCCCTCTCTTTGTGTCAGCTGGACTTCCCTGTCCTGCTTTCCTGCCTATGAGCCTGTATCTCTAGGTAATCATTTGCTGAGGACTGTAAGCCCTTCTGTCCTTCTTTCCTTTGCCTTCTTTCTTGCTTTTAGGCCCACTGTGCCTGCCAGAGGCCCAGAGCTGGGGCTCTTCATTTGGCTCAACTATATCAAAGTACCAATTCCTCCAACCTCCTGTTGCCCAAGATACAATCAGAGCTCAGTTCTCTGCATTCCCAACCATTCTGCACAAAAGTTTAAATGGGTCACAGTGAGTGTGTTACCTGAGCGGGTGTTTGCCTTCTTTTTGAAGACTTTTATGGTTGCTCCATTTGAAATCTGAAAGAAGAAACAAATATATCATGTTGAAACAGAAGTGCTTACAATTCACAAAAGCCTCAGTTTCATTTCCTCTGTCCCTCAGCCCGTGGCAGTGCAGGACAGCCCAGCCTGCTTTGTTCTCACCACAGTGTGCACAGCCTTCAGCAGGCAGCCAGGCTGGGCTTTCAGGCACAGGCAGTGGCTGCACCTTGTCAGCACTACCCGACATGTGGGAAGGCACCTCTTCCAGTGCACCAGCCTTGAAGACCTTTCCCTTCCTTTGATTTTTCTGGTTCAGCCTATATGTGGACATTTTCATGTTCATGTATTGCTCTGTGCTGTTTCTTGCATCCATTTTTCCATAGATTGCTCAGGTTAAATTCTCTGTGCCCAGTGCAACAGAATCTTATGGGAAGGTGAGGCAGAGAGGTGCACACAAAAGA